GAGAATGTTATGGGAGACTGTGTCAAAGGCTTTACTGAAGTTCAGGTAAATGACGTCCACAGCCTTTTCTTCATCCACCAGGCAGGTCCAAAATCACTCCCACATTCTGTCTTCTCTACTTGAGCCTCCATAATGAAGTCCCTGAATTTACTGAGCTCTCGTCCATCTTTTTGGCTTCTAGCTGGATCCCTTTGCTTAATCTATACTGGTGACCCATTCAGTCCCACTGCTGCTTGTTTCCTTGTTCTTGCCTCTTTGACCTACTGCCATGGGTCAGTGCCTCTGCTCCCTAGAGATGCCGTTCACCAGACTTGGTCTTCATTGAACACTGCTCGCTTACTTGATCATGCACTCTGTGGTGTTAGTGCTCTTCTGTGTTCATCACCTCCTCTCCTTTAGGATTGTGCGTCATCTGCTGCTTAATTCCGTCGCTCATCCTTCGTCTTCCAAAGACATGACGTCTCTTCCAGTTATAGTTCCAGACATTATTTCTTCCAGTCCCAAGACTATTGATCCTCATGCTACTTCATTCTTTTTTACCCTTGATCTTCTCTTAGGCCTTTCTGTCATTGCTGGGACTGCCTTGTCTGCCAGCAGTGGCAGGCAAGTATCAATATTTAATCCTCTGCCCTTGTACAATACACAGAGGATCTGCATGGGCAGGCAATGTGTTTCCAACTGCAGCTTCTCCTTGCAACTGCATCCCCTCCTATTTCCACCTTCTGGCTTACCAGGAAGTTTTACTCTTCAGAGTCCCAGCCCTAGATCATGGCCTAGCCACCTTCTGCTTCACAGGCTCCATAGGAACAGCTGTCCTCAACCTGTTAGTGAGCCCTTAACTACAAAATCTGTACTTAGTCTGTCAGACTTTGACACCCTCAGCCATGCAATATTATGGGGAGAAGGTTTATTATTTAAAAGTCCCGATTTATGCAAACTTGTGTCACTTGTGTTTGGCCAGAACATTACTCAAATGTCTCAGCCCTTACTATTGCACTTTCTACATCACAGATGAGCCACATTTTCAAGGCTTGCTATTTACAAGCTGTCACTTCTCACTGTCTATCAAAGAGCTGCCTCTTGACTCGAATGATGACAGCCTGCAAGACCTTCTTGTTAGATTTCCAGATAAACCAGCTTTCCTCAAATGTGTGCCATTTGTTCCATGACGCTCCTATCCACTTTTGGGACCCATTATGTACAGAGCTCCTGTCTTGCTTGCAGGAACATAGAAGAAACAAAGAAAGTCAAAAACTTTTTTGTTAACTTTCAAGTCAGTTTGTAGAAAATGAAGCCTGTAAACTCACAAATCAAACACTTGCAAGCTAAGGATTGATTCGTGCCACGGACAAAATCAGAATTCTGAGCAGAACCTTGCGGGGATAGATGTTAGTCTAGGAAAGCTTTCCGACTTTTGCTTGGCAGAAGAAAAATAGTGCTGTGAGCACTGAAACTTCTCTATCATGGACTACTTTCTGTGAGTGCTTGAAGCATTGTATGATGCGCGAGGCAATGCGTGACACCTCTGCCCTCTATTGGTCTTGAATGGCAGATCTTGTGTGTGCAAGATCTGAACGCTCAGCCCTCTGTGCCCACAGACTCTACAACTACTCTTTATATAGGGAAAACTCTCCCTCAGGCCAGTGTAAACATCAGGATCTGAATTAGCTCCTTGGTCCTGGTGATGCAGACGTCTGCATGATTATGACTCTATCAGAAACAAGCAGAATGGTCTCTATGGGGATGTGAAAAATACTGTACAGGCTTATATAAAATTACATTTTAAAAAATAAGATCTTGGCAGGTCATTTTGGGACTAAGTGGGTGGCTGGCATAGCCTTGAAAAAGTGTGAAGTAGTGCAAATAGAGAGCAGTTCTGCAGCCCACTGTCGTCTTGTTTTACTCATTAGTGGTGAAGTGTCTAAATACAGACAAATTCATACTTTTGAGTTAGCATAGGAGCAACAGATGGTGTATACATCTATATGGTAATGAGCCTTAGCTTATTTTGTATCACAGGAATATACCAGTTCCCAGAGGGGGAAGATGGTCACAGAGCCATTCCCTGTACTGTTACGTACATTTCCTATACCTTTCATCCCACTACCAAAGTCAAACAAACCTTCTGATTTAGCACTGAGATAGTCATTGTATACTGTGTCGTTGTATGCAGACAGTTAATGCACCACTATTTAGCAGCATCAGATGATGACATTAAGGAACTGTACCAAAGAGAGAAGAGGAGGAAATACAGCTTTTACTGACTGAAAATGACTTTCAAAGGTGATCAGTAATTAACAGCTTAGAGACAAATTTGCCTCGTTAACTTCAATCATGATTTCAGAAGTAGTGTGCCATAGAGATCTCAGTATCTTCATCTCCTGGGTGCTGTATCTGTATCTTAATTCTTTTTCCTGACAACAAGCTGCAAATGATTGTTATAATCCTGCTCAGTCACATCAACTCTTAACCTCAGACTTGGCTGGGGTTGTCCTGTTTCAGCTCCTGCAGTGTCCTGCCACTGCAAATAGGTGCCTTTGCTTCTTGTATCAACATTAGCTACATACAAGACCATATTTAAACATAATAAAGAGTTGGGGAAAGGGTCTATTTGGGTAAAGCTGAGGAAATACTGTATTGCTTTAAAATTTCAAGTCTCTGCTGGTGTAATCAAAATGCACTGAATGTCCAACTTCAGGATGCAGAACGAGCAGAACTCAGTGACAAATCATACTTACAGTATTGTTTTGGTTCTTCTTTTTCCAGTTCAGATGCTGTGGAGTCTCCAACTACACTGACTGGTTTGAAGTGTACAATACAACCCGGGTGCCAGATTCCTAAATTCAGTGAGAATTGCGGACTCCATTCCCCCGGGACCTGGTGGAAAGCGGTGAGTAGCTCCCCAGCAGCAGCTCAGCAGCTGCCCTGCAATGCCGGTAAAGGGCAGACAGCTAGTCATTTGCAGGGCTATACAGATGATAAGGTATGTTGTACCCTTACTCATCTTTAATCAAGGTGGTTTCAGAAGGCTTGAGCTGTTGAGATGTTGAGCTGTGGCTTGTGACCTTCAGTGAAAACGCCAATTTAATTATTTTTATGAGCTGAAGGCTTTCCTTTCAGTAGGCTCTAAGCTGTTGTTTCACATTGCAGACAGGTACCTTCCAACACTGATCTGGAGCACAGTCTAGCTAGATCTAGCTAGGAGATGACAGGATTGTCCTTTTTACTGTCCCACCTACTGGAGTCAGGTAGAGCTAAAGGCAAGTGGCTCCTCCCCACACCTGGAGCAGCAGCCATAGCTTATCGTGGGCCAGGCAGTCGTGAGGCAAGAGGACTGTGTGAGCTGGGAGTGCTCTGCTCCTGCCAGGAACCCTAGTTCAGGGGCTTCCACCGCACAGTAGGAGAGTGGAGACTGTTCCACTGAATTGCCAGCAGGATTATTTTTGCAATGAGTTTCTGCACTTGCCTGTAATCAAATTCAAAACTCCATGGGATAATTCCCCTACAACATACTCAGCCAGATCTTTCTAGAGCAGACAGTCAGAGCCTAAATTCTTCTCTGAAATTAGTTCAGCAAGTCTTTGTGTTAATTACAGGTAGTGCAATTACCCAGGAGGGGTGTGGAGTAAGGTCATCTGATGAAGTTGAACTATAAGGAAGTTTTGCTGGTTCTAATGGTTTGTGAAGACAATGAGTAAAGCTCTCTTGGCCACTTTCTAGTGAGATTTCATACACAAGGATTGGCACTGGCAGAGGCCGAGTTCCAACTAAACATGGCTCCTTTCTAACCTCTTGAGTACCTTCAAGTCAAATATTGAATTTAAGGACTTAGAAGTTGTTCTTCTATTTTATTCAGGGTACCAAGAAGATCAGTGCACGTTAACACCATGTCTTCTGGTGGGCATTAAATAGTTTTTCCTTTATACATACATGAAAGCCACTAACTGAAGGCTGAATGATTCTTGGCCATGTACGTTTACAAGACAGAGGGCACAATTTTTGCACAAGATTGTCTTACAGACATTATTTATTATTTACACATTATTTAAAGAAAGGTTTCACTTGGGTCAATTACACCCTCCCCAAAACTGGGCCAAGAACATGAGATTACAGCTACTGCAGAATTTAAATCAGGAATAAAATAATGGAGGAGTGCCCATACTGGAATTTGAAATAATGGAAAATGGTATGAAATGGGCCCATGTGCAGCAGGAGTGACTGCTCTCACTGGAACTTTTGGGTTGATATACATATATAAAATAATAAACATTAGTTTTCCTGAAACATGGAGAAAAAGCAAGGCTCATTCTGAAGTTCTAACTGCCGCTACTTGATTTTTAGAGGGCAAAGAGGACCCAAATCCACTGCTTATTTTTAGTTACTGGCCCAATTTATATGGAGCAGTCCTCATGCAGCATTTTGGAGGTGCACTTTTTTGTGTCATTACAATTAGTACTCTATGTTCAAACTTCAGCCCAGAAATACACGGTAGTTTCTGAAATGATAATCCATGCTACCTAGCATCTTAGTCTATCTGGCTGTTTTCTGTCTGTATATTCCCAGGGGAGTAGAGCTGTGTGTTTATGGCTAACACAATATTCTGGGTGTTTTTTTCCAGCCTTGCTACGAAACAGTGAAAGTATGGCTCCAGGAGAACTTACTAGCAGTGGGAATCTTTGGATTGTGCACAGCTATGGTGCAGGTACAGTTTAATATCAATTTTCAAATCCTAAGTAACCATAGATCCAGATATGCTCTGCCCAAGCCTGTTTTAATAATTCCAAATTTTGCATGATGTTAGAGTAAAACTCCACAAGATCTTTTATGTTTTAATTTAGTTAAAATACTATGTACGAGGTACAGAACTAGGAATACTGCGCACATTTTCTGTCTTATGATACACTGCAAAGAGCAGGCACTTCACCAAGTGGTTTAGACCAAGTGGCTTATCTATGGCTTAGACTAGACTCAGTGGAGAGGTAGCCCCCACCATCCAAAGACAGAAGCCTAGTCAGGGTAGGGTGAATTGCCTTTTAGGGTACCTGTATTTGTCCAGCAATTCTCCAGAGAGGACCGTCCGCTTAGGCTAAATATCTAAATTCAAGATAGCCTAAAGGTAGCTTAAGTTTTCAACCCCATCCTCAGTCCTAGGGTAAGTTACAAGTTGGGATGTTGCTACCATAGAATCATAGAAGAGAATTATAGAATCGTTTAGGTTGGAAAAGACCTTTAAGATCATCCAGTCCAACCATTAACCTAACACTACCAAGTCCACCACTCAACCAATTAAGGGTAGCATGATAATTTCATGTTTCCTGGCTTGGTGGCTGGATTATTTTTTCATGAAAGGAAAACTAGGAATCATTAAGGTTGGAAAGGATCTCTAAGATCATCAGTCCAACCATCAACCCAACACCACCATGCCCACTAAACCATGTCCCAGAGTGCTACATCTACCCGTTTTTTTAACACTTCCAGGGATGATGACTCCACCACCTCTCTGGGCAGCCTGTTCCAATGGTTAACCACTCTTTACATGAAGAAATTTTCCCTAATATCCAATCTAAACCTCCCCCTGATGCAACTTGAGGCCATTTCCTTTTGTCCTATCGCTAACTACATGGGAGAAGAGACCAACACCCACCTCACTACAACCTCCTTTCAGGTAGTTGTAGAGAGCGATAAGGTCTCCCCTCAGCCTTCTCTTCTCCAGGCTAAACAACCCCAGTTCCCTCAGCCGCTCCTCATAAGACTTGCTTTCTATTAGTCAACCTTGCCAATAAAACCATGCTCCTTTTCTGTTAATTGCAGGGAAACTAGGTAGGGAAGATTGGCATAGATTTGCCTGTCAGATTTTTGACCTGCAGTTATTTCCAGCATAACTTTAGTCAGAGAAGAATCATCGTCAGTGTAGTACTGAGGGTACACAGGTGAAAGCTGTGCTGGAGCTCAGGCTGTTTCAGGTATATGTCAGCCCTCCATTTATGGCCCAAAGTCCCATTCCTGAATGCAGTGAAGACGGAGCTTTAGTTTCCAGCTCCACCTCTCCCTCGCACTCAACATACAAGCAGAAAGGATGGCATCACTAAGCTAATTAATACCACATAACCGCAGATGAACTCATGGAGTTTTTTTAATTCCGCATGGTATACCACTAGCAGCAGCAAGAGAGTCTGGAATCAGAATTCCACTCATTTTCCCACTACTGTCAGATTAGGCAGAGTGGCATGTATCTTACTCTATCATATGTCACGTATTGGCTGCAACTTATTAATGCAAATGCCTGAGTCCTCGTAGGCCCAAATTCAGTAGAGTTTTGGTTTGTGTTTTCCAGTATAGTAAGCAGATATGCTTAGGAAAAAAGATAAGCACAAGATGATATTGCAGAGAGACAATGTACGACTGTTGTTAATACATTACCATATTTTAAAAAACAGCTTTTGAGCATCTATTTAGCACTTAGGGAGTCTTTAAAAGACACATTAAAAACCCAGCAGCCCATGTTAGAGTCCTTCTCATAGACCTTGATTGAAATAAATATATTTAGGGTAGTTAAGAGAATACTATCTTTCTGACAGAAAAATTACTAGTTTGCATGGGAGAAAACACTTCCGACAATTTAAACATGATAATTAATATTGCTAGTAAATACTGTGACATACAGATTAAACACCTCAGAACACAAAAGATTTTTAATCTGTCTTCCAGCTGCACTATGTGAGTGAATCTAATTGATCACAACAGTTTTGATGCACTGTAACCTGAAATGAATTGGGCTCCCTCTATTGTTGCTGTTAAAATGTTGTTCTGGCCCTAAGCATGTGACAGCTTTTGTCTTTCACGTTAACAATCTTATAGTTAGAAACATACAGTGACACAACTTGAAGAACATAAAACACATGTGGCAGAAGAATCTTCTTCAGTCATGCATGCTTGAAATTATAAAACAAATTCAGCCACTGAGGTTTTATTATGCAGCTGTCCCTGAAGGTGTTCCTTTGCTAGGAAGTAGAAGGCAGTATTTAAAAGGCATGTGCTTACTGTAAAACAGCACACTAAAGCCTAACAGTCTTAATTTCGGGACATGGTTTAGTCTAGTCTACCCTTGATTGGTTTAGTGTGGACTTGGTAGTGTAGGTTAATGGTTGGACTGGATGATCTTAAAGGTCTTTTCCAACCTAAACAATTCTATGATTCTATAATTCACTGTGGAAGAATAGGAAATGAAGATGACAACAGCTTTATAACCATTTTTTTTTTCTTTAGAAATAAATAAAGTAGATTGTATGTTATTCATGTACTCTTTCAAAGTACTTATTAACAGGAACTACTATTTATGTAAAGACTAAATTTGAAGTGGTCAAATTAAGTGCTTAAAATAGAATCCATATAAAAGAATTCTACCTGGCAGACCTTTATTTCAATGGCAATTTTTACAGTGGTGTTGCAAAGGAATAGTAACAACCACTTAGTACATTCATATAAGTACTTCAACCGGAAGGAAAATAAGACTCTCTTCCTCATCCCTTTTTCTGATGAAGTCATGTACCAGAGCTGGCACAGCAGGTCAGTAGTTGGGCTGGCAGAAGAGCCACCACCTCCCTGCTGCTTCTCTTGAATAGGCTGAGTAGAAAGACACATACATTGTTGATGAGGCATTGATGGTTATGATTAATGCATGGACAGTCTCCAATGATTCCCCCATAGGGACCTGTGCACACATACGCTTGGAAAAGTAAAGTACAGTGAAGTAAACCACAACATCCTTTGGGTCAGGGATGAACCTGACTGTCTTTCAAAGCAATAGCTACAGAGATAACCACACAGCCCTACAGCTGCGGGTTGCTACTATAAAATATTTGCGAGCCAAAGACATCCAAACATTTCTTTTTAATGTACCTCTTCCCAGTATCTGGTGGCTGCTTTTTGTGGAGAAATCAACTCTCCTGTGTTCTCATTCTGCAAAACAGCAATTCGGGTGAGGACAAAAGGCAGACAGAAACTAGGTGTGGTGTGTCTTCCTGTGTGAGAACAAAACCGGTGTAAGCATGCTTTTCTCTCTTTTTTTTTGTTTCAATAAATAGGGGCTTTACTTACTGAAAAGTGATTGTTTGGTTTTGTTTTTTTCTCTTAGATTCTTGGACTCACCTTTGCAATGACCATGTATTGTCAGGTAGTCAAGGCAGACACCTACTGTGCATAGATACCATTCCCAGTCTTTCTGCTCCTCCTCCAAAGGACACAGGAGAAACCTCCTTCATGCTCATTCAGCTGACCTTCCCCCCCTGCCCTTTGTACTATAAACTGTGTATAATGCTATCTTTCTGAAGATTTTGTGTATCACCCCACTTTACTGAAGGAGGAAGAAAAGAAAAAGTCAGTACTTGAACTGGCACAGGTAAGAAGCAGCCTTGTCTTTAAACAGAAGAAAACCTCCAAAGAGCAGTGGTTCCTTTTCTATGGCCTATGGCAAAGGCAAAGGAGGCTGCTTATGAGGAACTGATCTGCAAACCGATGTTAGGAAAAGATTGCACTGAGGCAACCTCTGTGACACCTGCCAGGTTGCCTTCCTGCATTTCACGGTCTGGAAGAGAGGGTGTAGAAAATGAGTATTCTTCAGCATGAAAAGAAGGTACAGAGTAGCTAGCACTGAATGCAATTGTAATTTTACTACAGTTTGCACATAGCTAAAATGTCAAGATGAAGCAGCCCTGCCTCCAAGTGTCTCAAGATGATTTTGTAGCCAGGAGAAGATCACCTTCAGAAATATGTTATTTTAAAGGAGTATTTTTAATCTTATGCGCTGCAAAGTCAGGCTTTTAATCAGAATCTGTGCAGTGAGATCTGGCTGTTAAGGGAAAACAATATTGGACATTGTCTTAGTTATTAATTCCCAGTGGCATATAGATGGTTGACTGTATATGTAATACCTATTACATTAATATACACATACTGTTCTGGAAGGAGGTGAAAATACCCAACATCTAACCTCAGAAAGAGGGAACCTTTCTATCCCATTTTACATTCCAATTGAAAAAAATGAGTATTACTTCTTGTAGGGGGCACTATCACTTATACCTCTGGGAAACAAGTAATTACTTTCAGCTGTATCTTCATTTCAGTAAACAACTTGTGAGTGGGCTCTCTCTGTCATTCTACTACGGTTTATTTTTTATCATCCCTGTTTCAAGTTAGTCTGCCAAAAAATATCACTCATTTCCACACTTGAAGATCTGTACAAAGCTGTCAGCTGTTCCTTCCCTGAATGTCACCATTTCATTAATTTACTTTGGGATATCATCATCTGCAGGTACAATAGAGTTTGCCTTGCTGAGGAAAAATCTTTTGCACATTGCTCATTTTTCTGAGAGTTATTAAGAGTTCAGATGTTTTTATGCTTAGCTTTTTTTTTTTCAGCTGCATGCTTACAACAGCCAAGACACGTCAGTCTTTGTTAGAACTGGAGTCACCTTTCAGTTCTGTTTTTCAGACCCATCTCCCTCTGGCTGTTGGCTAGAACGTGCCCCACACTTCCTGGAATTTGCAGAAATCAAAATTGTAACTTTCCTTAGCCAGAAAACAACCACCAGTTGTCCAATTTTCCCACCCTGCATTGGTAACTGAAGTAATTCGTGTGATTCTGTGCACACCTTCTAGTGATGAGGTTAAGAATCAGATGTTTCCTATTGTTCAAACAAACAATTCCCTATCAGCAAGCAGACCCAGGTAATGCACATGTGACAGCAAGAAACTGAAGCACCCCAGGGAAAGGACACAGCAATGAACGGGCAAACAGAGCAATGCAGCCAGCCTTTGAGGACCTCTCAGCCACTGACTATAGACCAGAAATACAACCAGGGTGCCCTGTTTTCCCAGAAAGCTCAATGCAGCAACAGACTAGAAGCGTGCATCAAGTTCAGGCAAAAAAAGTTACCCTGTACCTTTAGTGCTTACAACAGCAGGTCTCAACTATGAGTGACATTTTGCTCACTTTGATTTAAAGGCAATTTCCAGCAGTAAAGCTGGACTTGCTAACCCACAGCCTACTGAACAATCTCCTTAACACCCGTAAGTAACCCTTTTCTGGACCTGCACCATTGGCAACTACTATTCTCACTGCTTAGGTTTTGTGGTTTTTTTTCCTCTTTGCTGATTTCCTGCAGTCTTCTTGCCCTCAGGCCCAAACTACTCCATGTTTTGTGGGGAAGTGCTTAGGACAGTCTGGTGTGTGAAAGAGCAAGTATCTTCCAAAATCTTAACCCCATCATTATGCATCAACCTCTGTAGCATGGAGCATTTAGCTGGGCAGGCTAAGTTGAAAGTAATGTGCATTTTAAGGATGTGCACTAAAGGATTTTACTGCTATGCTAACAAGCCTTGACAAATGTTAACAGACCTTCACCCAAGACAGAAGTTAAACTGAGTGAGCAGCCCACACACAGGTGCCCTGTACCCCAAGCAAGAGACTTACTCTTAGTGTTACAGTCACCACAGTCTGAATGCATTCTGCGTCCTGAGCCCAGGCTGACCTGTCAACAGTCCTGCTCTTCGAAAGAGGGTGTAAGTTTGTTTTTTCCCTCTCTCCACTCTGTTGCGTTCTTACCTGAATAGACACAATTCCAGGTTAGATGTACCATTAGTTCTTGCCATAGTTTATAGTTTGTACACACAGGTGCTCCTGCTGACAGCTCAGAGTTTCCACCACTGAAAAGCAGCGTAAGAGAGAGATGAATACATTAATAACACATTGAGAATTTTTTTTTTTAAGAAAGATAAAAGGTAGACAAGTCTATTTGTAGTGATCCCTGCCATTAAAAATTAACACAGAGACAGCAGGCTGATGATGACTCAGTTGATAAGAGCAAACTGTTGTGCAACAGAGCTCTCACAGAGGACAACTCATCAATTTGCCTGATGGCGGTGTAAGGAGAAGAGAGATCACACACCCTCATCCTGCGAGTCTCCCAATAATATGTGGTGAGCTCTTCTAGAGAAGACGGCTAGACTTCAGCTAAACCTACAGAAGAAACAAAACGAGAAACAGAGACTGAAGACAAGTCATACGTTGTGGTTCCCTCTAATTATTTGCCACAGTTTAGGTGTCTTTACAACAAGATAAACTGCCTCAGTTTTCAAAAACACATATCTATAGGGAGTATAAGCAATATTCACTTTGTAAGTCCCAGTCACTGCAACAGAAACATATGGCACTAACTGCTGAAAAGAAAGAAAGAAGAAAAAAAAAAAAAAGAAAAAGCAGACCACACATTGCTGCTAAGAATTCTTTTTTTTAAACACTACCCTTACACTGCCAACTGAGATGCTACCGCAACTTGTTTATAAATTGAACTGGACTAGTTTCTGTAGCTGATGTTATTAACTCTCTTCATACAGGCCAAATGGATGTTATGGTGCTTAAAGCATTACCAGCACAATCCAATTTCAAACCTCTGAATATACTGCATATAACAAGCCTCAGATTTATCATATTTTCTTTTTTAAAAGCATTGCATCCTTTCTCTGCTGATGAGGTCAGAATATTTTTGTGATATGTAACAGCAACAATCTCTTTTAAAAAAGCAACAACAAAAAAAAGTTTCACATTATGCATAAAATTTCATGTTGAACTGGTTGATTATAAATAAATACCCTGCAGTACATAATACCCATTTAAAAGGCTGCTTATATTATATGTATGCAGAGCAACACAGAAGTCATTCCAATTGCTTCCAGTAGTGTTTTGTCACTTTTAGTAAAGTCTTTTATATTATTTTCACTTCTTATCTTTAAACATGAAGGAGGACTCAATACATTTAAATTAAAGACAGAACCAAAGGCAACAAAGATATTGCAGGAGAGCACTCCTAATTTATACTCATTGCTGCTTCTGCTTAATAACAAGATGTGAAGGCACAGGGTGCATGGCTGGACCTACTGAATTCAGCAACATCAGGATTTAGCTTTTCGATTCAGTCCACTATAATGCTGTCTTTTCATCTTCACAATTACAATAATATATATATGTGTGTGTGTATATATATTTAATACAATATGGTTTATTTTCCTTACCGTAACTATCAGTAGCAGCCAAATCGTATTGCTCATACAACAGAATTATTTAGCTCCACATATTATAGTGCACAGTCACTGACATTCACTCCAGTTTCTGTTCTATGAATACTTCTTTGTTCCTCCCCCTCAAATAATATAAACTTGTAAAGGTTTATTCTTCCATTTAATAATTACCATTTGAATGCAATATTGTATGATTTATAAGATGGAGAGGAAGGAACTGCATGCAAGCTGTAAAAATATTTTGCATCAGCAATATCGCTGCTAGGCATATCCACCCAACTCCCTCACTTCTCACAAACTAATTAAGAACCAGTCTCGTCTTTCAGTGCATGTGGCTCCCGGCTGCCTCTTCCCGCGTTCATAGATAGGACAGGAGGTTGTCAGCATGGAGAAAGTTGAAGCCATTCACTTACCCCTTAGCTTCATTGTTGTGCTATAACTGTGGCACCAAAGCTAAGCAACAGAAACCAGCAGTTGATTGTGGCATTTATTTTAAAACCAGACTCTTTATTAACTTTGTCTGCTGCAAGGATTCTTGCTAAGTGTGAATGATCTTCATAGATACTGAGTTAGACAATTCACAGTAACAAAACAAGTCAGGACTCGCCATGGGAAATTCTGTTTGGATTCCATTGTGAATTCTCCTAGATTGTCACCGGTATCTTACCCCAGCGGGCAGGTTGCCTCACTTCGGATTTTGTCGCTGCAACTACAATGATACATTTTTGTGCATTCATATAAAGAACAAAATTTAAAATATACATTTTATTTTTTAAAAGTTATTAAATATTCTTTAAAGTTTACAACAGGATGTCTTTTGTATTCTTTATAATCAACTACACTACAAGCTATACAGTGATTACATACATACCCAAAGACGTGTGTGCAAGTGCGTGCACACACACACAGAGTGTATGCAATAAAAAAAAAAAATCCCCAAAACACAGCATACTTCATTTTTTGTCATTTCTCATTACCTACCTTTGATTTGACCTATCCTTCCTTACAGATCTTTCTTTTTATTAAGTGGCTTACCCATTCCCAGGTAAATTTGCACCCCTTTCTGTTTCCTCTTCTGGGCAACCTGAAATTATGTGATAGCAGCTAACAATTCAGAAAACACTGGGA